AGACCGAAGCAAAGGTGAGTCTTATGATGATGATGATGAAGATGATGAAGAACATCCCAGTTCCAGTAATGAGCTGATGCTGATGTTTGTGTTGTGACAGGATGACCACAGACACCTGAACCAGTTCATCGCTCATGCTGCTCTGGATCTGGTGGATGAGAACATGTGGCAGTCCAGCAACATGTACCTGAAGACTGTGGACAAATTCAACGAGTGGTTTGTGTCTGCCTTCGTCACAGCTGCTCATATCCTTTCCCTTCATGACATAGTGAACATATGCTTTATTAAACAGTTTTTATTTTTATAATTTCCATTTGAATTTTAGTATATATTTTAATATATTAATTTGAATGTGAATATATATATTAGATTTTATTAATTGTATTTTTTAAATGTTAGTTAATTTAGTACACCACGTTAAATTAAATTAGAAATGTTAGCTTGGTGACTTTTTTTATATTTTATTTTACTCGAGCAAAAAAAAAAAAAAAAACAAGTTTTAATTTTAGTTAACTATAATAACTCTGATTTACTGTAAATGTTTTTTTAACTCTATAAAACGGAGAAAGTTCTAGGAAATTCTGCTTTGCAATTTTTATTAAAACGGACAAATGTATAAAAAATTATATTTTCAATTAATTTAATATAATAACTCTGATTTTCTGTAAATGTTTTTTAACTCTATAAAACTGAGAAAATTCTACTTTGCAATTTTTATTAAAACTGAAAAATTTATTACAAATTAAAAATTATATTTTCAATTAATTTAAACTATAATAACTGATTTTCTGTAAATATTTTTAACTCTAAAACAGAAAATTCTAGGAAATTCTGCTTTGCAATTTTTATTAAAACTGAAAAATTTATTACAAATTAAAAATTATATTTTCAATTAATTTAAACTATAATAACTGATTTTCTGTAAATGTTTTTTAACTCTATAAAACTGAGAAAATTCTACTTTGCAATTTTTATTAAAACTGAAAAATGTATTACAAATTAAAAATTATATTTTCAATTAATTTAAACTATAATAACTCTGATTTTCTGTAAATATTTTTAACTCTAAAACAGAAAATTCTAGGAAATTCTGCTTTGCTATTTTTATTAAAACTGAAAAATTTATTACAAATGAAAAATTATATTTTCATTCAATTTTAATTAACTATAATAACTCTGATTTTCTGTAAATGTTTTTTAACTATAAAACTGAGAAAATTCTAGGAAATTCTGCTTTGCAATTTTTATTAAAAATGAAAAGTTTTATTAAAATTGAAAAAAATATATTTTCAATTAATTTTAGTACTAGTTAACTATAACTCAGATTTTCTGTAAATATTTTTAACTCTATAAAACTGAAAATTCTAGGAAATTCTGCTTTGCAATTTTTATTAAAACTGACAAATTTATAAAAAATTATATTTTCAATTAATTTAAACTATAATAACTCTGATTTTCTGTAAATATTTTTAACTCTATAAAACTGAAAATTCTAGGAAATTCTGCTTTGCAATTTTTATTAAAACTGACAAATTTATTAAACATTTAAAATTATATTTTCAATTAATTTAAACTATAATAACTCTGATTTTCTGTAAATTTTATTTAACTCTATAAAACTGAGAAAATTCTAGGAAATTCTGCTTTGCAATTTTTTATTAAAATTGATTGAAAACTAATTTTATATTTATTTGCAATTTTGTATAACAAAGTATCCCTGGTAGTCCTGTCATAAGCATCAGATTATTATTCCAAGGCCAATAAATGTCTAACACAGATAGTACAGTAGTCAGTCGCGTCCCGAGAAATGGAATATTAACAGACCCATTTAATATATTTTTCCTTAACTTTCCTTGCATACATATGAGATTTATTATGCTCCATGATGTTCGGCAGGAGGACGGAATCAAGAACTTCTTTAATGATGTTTATGATCTGTACATCAAGGTAAATCATATATTATTCTGTAGTGATATTTCAGTACCATACCAATGCCTTGCATTTACTTTAAAACATTTTTGTGTGTTTTTACCCAGTTTGCAATGAATCCCTTCTACGAAGCCAACGCACCGATTCGCTCCACAGCTTTCGAGAGGAAAGTGCAGTTTCTTGGGAAGAAGCATCTGCTCAGTTGATTCATTTTATACCTGTACTATTTTGTTTTTGCAGTCTTGTTGTCATGCATAAATATACAGGTGTGTTGTTTATACCGTCAGATACATATTTCACGTTTCAGTTGTTCATACTCATTATCGCCAGCTTACATTCACATTCTCACCTGCTACTGTACGACAAATGGTGTGTGAATACAGATTATTCTTAAAGACGTGTTTAAAGCATCAAACAGGAATGCAAAATACATTTCTGCAGAAATGACACACTAAACTGCAACATCTATAACATCTGGTCAACTGCATGATGATTTTGTACATTACTGTTGTCTAATAATAACCTTAAATCAAATAAACAATTTCATCAAGTATTGTTCATTACTTCTTTAATTTCAATTCAACAATCTACGATATTGAGATTTTAGTGCTTCTTTTCAGAGTGCGTGCTTAAACACTTCACCTCATTCATATTTTTAGTACAAGTACTGTGTATATATTTGGCACTCTACATAATTGTTAATATATATTAGAAATGATCACACACTGTATGAACGCCTGCCCTGCATAAGTTAATCATAGTTATAGGAAAAGAAAATCACATAAAATGCACACTGCGAGAAAAATCAGCATTTTTGTCTTGTTTTCCAGTAAAAATATCTAAACATCCTTGAAACAAGATGCATTTACTTAAGAATCAAACAGCATGTGATAGACTTGTTTTCACAATGCATTAAAAAAAAAATTCCAGTAAAAATATCTAAACATCCTTGAAACAAGATGCATTTACTTAAGAATCAAACAGCATGTGATAGACTTGTTTTCACAATGCATAAAAAAAAAAAAAAAACTTATTTTTTTTTTACTTTAAATGAAACAAAATGATTTGCCCATGAGGTAAGCAAAATAAATTCAAAATATGTTAGCGGAAAATAAGTGCTATTATCTAACACAGCCGTGCTTCTCGAGTAAATTGTTTTAAGGACATTTCGATATTTTTAATGGAAGACGAGGCGTGTTTTTACAGTGCATTTATTGCATTTGCTCTTCACTATTTAATTGCCATGCAAGACAAAATTATATCCGTCTATGCACTAACCCGCTCAAATCCCATAAGACATATATATATATATATGAACATCTGAATGCACAGAATCGTTTAAATTCAGGCAGTTCAGATCCACGAAAGCCACCCAGTGCAAGCAACCCAGTGTTTAGGCGTAAGTGCATGTATTCCAGTAAGTGCATGTTCAAATATAACGCAGATGCTTCACTCAAGGACCATTAAATAGCTAATGGAGGTCATTCTCGTCTGTTAACAGCACCGCGTGCTGCTGCGAGGCTTTCTATGCAGGCTGACGGTGTCTGTTGGAATCAAATGCTCGTGTCGCTCCTCCAAAGCCAGAACTCTTCTGACGGCTTCCTCGAACGCAACCGCGACATTAGTCGCGTCTTTGGCGCTGGTCTCGAAATACGGGTATCCTCCGCTTTCCCTGCACCACTCCTGAGCTTCCTCGCTGGTCACCTGCCTCTCCGTCACGTCCACCTTGTTGCCCAGAAGCACGAACGGGAAGCTGTCAGGCTCCTTGACGTCGGCGTAGAAGATGAACTCTTTCCTCCAGTTGTTGAGGTTGTGGAAGCTCTGGCTGTCGTCCACGCTGAAGGTCAGCAGGCAGCAGTCGGAGCCGCGGTAGAAGGGCGTCCGCAGGCTGCGGAATCGCTCCTGACCCGCCGTGTCCCAGATCTGCAGCGTGACCGTGCGGCCGTCCACCTCCAGGTCTTTATTGAGGAACTCCACGCCGATGGTGTGAAAGATATGGGCGTCGAACTTGTTAGTGACGTAGCGGTTCATGAGCGAGCTCTTTCCCACTCCACCGTCGCCCAGGAGAATGACTTTAAGAAGGGAGGATTTAGATGACATGGTGTTTGTAGCCGTCGTCCTGTGAACTGAAGTTCAGGGACATTTTTAAGACTTGCCTTTCATATTTCTGAAATAAGTCATATGATTCTCCCAAAAATTTGGAAATTTGGAAGCTGCATTTATTTATTAAAAAATACAGTAGAAATTGTGAAATATTATTTGAATTTAAAATAGCTGTTTTCTATGTGAATATCTGTTAAACTGTAATGTATTTCTGTGATCAAATCTGTATTTTCAGCATCATTACTCCAGTCTTCAGTGTCACATGATCTTCAGAAATCATTCTAATATGCTGATTT